CTAAACCCTGACCCTAAACCCTAAAGGCTGATAAGTTCGTGGACGGTTTGAGGCACCCGAGAGCTGAGGAGAAGCTGAAATAGGGAACCCATCCCTTCGGGGCGTTCCTTAGGAGTTATGGTTGAGGTCTTAGGGTTCAGGGCTTTTAGGGTTGAGGGTTTAGGGTTTAGGGCTTTTAGGATTGAGGGTTTAGGGTTTAGGGCTTTTAGGATTGAGGGTTGAGGTCTTAGGGTTTTGGGCTTTTAGGATTGAGGGTTTAGGTTTGGGGTTTAGGGCTTTATGGATTTCAGAGTTTGTGTTATCGTATAGAACTCCGGGGGGCGGTGCCTGAAGTGTTGTTTTCACTATGGACTTGTGGTTGAGAGAGCTTGCAGGGTTTCGTGTCAGGGAGTACCGGGCATTCTGCTCATATGAGGATCATAGTTCCTGTGGGTGTAGCAAGCTGACTAGATTCTAGATGCGAGGCTGTGGCAGTAGGACTTGCAGATCTTAGCGGCCTTGCAGAGTTCACCGAGATCAGTTTTTGTTTTTTTTTGGAGGGGGGGGGGGGGGGGGGTTGTAGGACTTTTTTGGAGCATCCCCAAGAGCTGGTCGTTGGTTCTCAACCTTGAACTGCAAGTTACAGAATAGCTGGAAGAACGAAGCAAGTTCGTCAGATGATGAGTTATCCCCCTACAGTCCCCAACCCAAGCAATTCTAGGATAGCGCACCCAAAGCATCTGAAAGCCCTATTTGACAATAGCTACGGCCCCATGTTAGCGCATGTTTCTCAATTCTGTTGAGAAGAAGGTTTGGCCCAAAGCTGCCGTCACCTTCCAGACACAGACATTGGAGGTCTAGTGCGCAAGAACAGGATGCAACATTTCGCAGAAGATTCCATATATGATATACAGGTCTGAGTCGTCAACAATGAGATTAATATCCCCTCGAAGCCCCTCTTTACTTATGCTATGATGTCCGCTACAACCTGCTGCAACGCACCATCCTACTTGCTCAGGTCCTTACATTTTTCCAGCCTATTTCACAACCTACACTTCCCAACCTCCCACACTCGCACATCTTCATCAAATCGCGAACTCCACAATGCAAAACACAGCGCCTTAGCGCCCTAAACCCTTAGCCCTGAACCCCAAAAGTCCTAAACTTTAAACCCTAAACTTCCTAAACCCCAAAACCCGACAAAGCTCCAAAGCGGCCTTAGCCAAACCCTTCGACCCATCCACAACCCTCAACCTGGAGCCTCGGCGATATGGATGGCAGCCCTATCACTCGGCGATTTCTGGTGCCCGTCGTCGCTGCTGCAGCCCACTGGTGGCTGGGATGGAAAGCCTTGTAAATCCAAATACCCTAGAAGCCCTAAATTCGCAAAGAGCCCGAACGTCCCAGAGCCCAAAGCCCAGTAGCCTCCTCCAAGCATGTTCATACACCCCTAAATCCCTAAACCTTATGAGCCCTGAAGCCCTACAGCCCTGAACCCTAAACTCTGAACCCTGAAGCCCCACAAAGCTCAACCCTAAACCCTAAAGCCCTACAACCCTGAACCTGAAGAGGTATGTAGCGGTGAGCCCAACTGCCGTCGTGCCTCCGCCCTCGCCAGAGCCCCCGGAGGATGGACTTTTTTGGGGCATTCGTTGTTACCCCAATATAGAGGCCTCAATAATTAGAAGGTGCCTTTAAAGGGTTCCTTAAAGGTTCTATATGGGCTATTAGAATAGGGCTTCGGGGCCAATTATACTATAATTCTATTAAGGGACCCACTCCCCAAACTAGTATAGGTAGTTATGTAGGCCCCTATGTTACCCTAACCCAAGTGGTCGTTTTCGAATTATGTTCTTTCCCCGTAAAGCCTTCGACCCTAAACCCTAAACTCTGAGGTTGAGGACTTTCGGATTTTAGGTTTGGCCTGTTTAGATGCAGGCTTGGGCTTCGTTGGGGGCTTTAGGTTGTGGGGTGCAGGATTTTAGGAGCTGTGTTCTACGATCTACTTTTTTTTCGGGGTATCTATCGTTGTTTGTTGTTGTTGTTGGCACCTGGGTCTAGGCGCTAGAGTTTAGAATTGCCTACCTAGTTCCCAGACCCCCGGGAGGATCTAACAAAGTAGATCCCCGAACTTGGGACTCTAGCCATGAAAGGGTACTTTATAGGAACCCCCTGATTAGGTAAGGGATCTACTTATTGGAAGCTCCTGGCGGTCTGGGTAAGGGTTCACTGATTACAATCAACCCGTCGACTCCAAGACTGATCGGTCAAAACAATTCGGTAACGGTGGGTTTAGGGTATCCATACAATTATTGAGGATCCCTCCATGAAAGACTGAGTATGTATCGACTACTTTCAGTTCTCTGGGAATTGGTACTCGATTCCAGCGGTAAAGTACGGCTGATGGACAAAATTCTGCATGACCTTATATACCTAAACTATGGGATTTATGGTACTCTACGATATTTGGGTCATGCAGACTTTTGTCCATCAACAGTATGAGGCGCAGGTTCTGAGATTGGGGGGTTTAGCATATTCAGGAAGTGCATGGTTCAAGAGGAGACGGGAGATGGCGGCAACGTCTGCATTTCACTGTCTGCATGCAGGCTGTTCCACCAAACCTTATCTCAATTGCACCCTATAAGCCCTGCAAGCCTAAAGCGTCTGCAGCGCTTACCCAAAATCTAGTCTGGGCCCACACGCCTGCACCGTCTCTGTGCGCAGGACAACTGGTCTCTGCCGCGCGTCGACGTCGACGCGATCTGGAACGAGTTCCTTCTGAAGGCAGCTGCGCGTTGGGGTTCAGTAGTATAGATGTCGGAATACTTCGTGTTTAGGGTTTAGGGTTTAGGGTATGGGGTTTAGGGCTTAGTAGTAATTTTCCCGAGGGTCCTTCCCATATCAACCGTAAACTCAATGCAGATTTTACCGCCAGGGACTTTTCCTAATCATCAAGGCCCCCACGAGACCATGAACTGTGGGCCCAGGAACTTGGGACCATCAGTGTTGGTCCCATAGAGGGGTTTAGGGTTTAGGGTTTAGGGTGTTTGTAACTCTCGGTATTCTAGCAGACTCAGCCGTGAGAAGCAGGGAAGACAGTGGTGCCAGAAGGACCTGAAAAGTGCTTGGATCCGAAGTTCCGGGGCTCAATAATACTAATAGCAATAATGATAGTAAGAGTTTTTGTCATGAGAATGATTTTACCAATAACTATTACTAGTAATAAAAAAGTAATACCAATAATAATTCGATCGAATTTCTCTAGACAAATTCCCGCCCGCCGCCCGCCTTGAGCTTTTGAAGTCATGCACGCCCCCGAATCTTTGAACTATGGAATCTGGACTCTTGCATCTCAAGGTATCTCATTATTTAGAGTTTAGGGTTTAGGGCATTACTCCAGCTGTCTCTACATGCTTTCGTTGTTGGCAGGAGACATTTCCGCTTCGAGCAACGCCTAGACTCAAGTCCTAAACTGAAACCCTGAGGGAGGTATAAGCTCAGAGACTCCAAAACCAAGCCCTTAGTCCAGGAATATAGCTGAAAGGCTTATAGGAACCCTAATCAAGATTTTCGGATATTCCTTTATGAAGGGGTTGTGGAGTCTCTCAGAGCGCCTAGAAGTGAACGATATGTCCAGTCGTGCAGGCCCCTGCCCTGCCTCTTCCTTCCTGGATTCGGACGTCTACTTGTGGGCAGTGAGGTTTATATAGGGAGCAAGGAGCAGTGGCTCACCTGAGGCATTTTGTGGATCATTTTTTTAGTTTTTTTCTAACCCAGCTTGCTCCGTGAAGCTTGAATTGGAGGCTGAGAACAGAAGAACTGCCTACGACCGATGGGGCACACGCTTGCTGCTTTTGCCGCACCCCGGCCAAACTCCACAGTTTCGGACTTGGGCTTAGATGCTGCCGCTTCAGATGCATGCATGAGTGGGTGTATGTACGTGTGAGTATGTAAGTACGTGTGTATGTACGAATGTATGTAAGTAAGCCTGTCTCGTGCTCCCCCTCTCTTTCTTTCTCTATGTCTCTCACTATATATGTATATGTGTTTATGTTTATTTTTGTATGAATATATGTGTATATATATATATATATGTATATGCTTATGAATCTATAATACGCATACATACATACATACATACATACATACATACATACAGACAGACAGACAGACAGACAGACAGACAGACAGACATACATATATATAAGTGCATGTTTTATGGAAATCAACATTACATATATGCATATATGGAATATGTGCATACACATACACATACATATGTATGCACATATAGACACTCACACGTACACATGTACATGCATGTACATATAGAGCGATTCAGCCAATACGCATGCATTGACAACAGTGGCCACGGATGACCGGAGAGAGTATAACCAGGTTAAGCTTGGCCCTGGTTGGAGTGAGATTGAACTTCCCCCAAACGTGTTCATACCCAGGCTAAGTGAGGCATACACATTCACTTTGCTGTGAGTGTGTGTGTTGTAAACGTAGAAGAAATGGTACATGATTAGATCATAGCTTGAGAAATACTATGTACTAACCGAAGTGAGAGCAATGATGAATACGGTGCTGAGAAATGCTGAGAATATGTGTGGCCATCACACATATGAGATGTACGAAGTAAACACCCGCTTCGCAACCTTTGAGGATGTACGCCTTTCCCGTGCTGGTGGCAGCAACTTTCTGCAGAGCACGGCTTCGAAGAGCTGCGCGCTGGCCACTCTGCGAGCATGCTCTGTTGTGCGTTCAGAGTCAGAGGCCCACTTTTGGGAACTACTAAACCCTAAACCCTAGACTCTATCGATAAAGCTGAAGCTCTGAACCCGAAGCCTTTAGTTCTTCGAGTCCTAAAGCAAATCTTGCAAGGCAGGTTCAGGAGTTGAAGACCTTGGATGCTCTGCTGGTGTGTCTGAGCTCTCCGAGACCGAAGACCAAAATTCTGAATCTAGAGCAGGCTGAACTTCGAGCGCGAGAACTCGTAGGGGAGGATATCTTGCCGATTGATCTGCAATTTCGATCTAATACAGGGGGCTGAATAAGTTCGAAAGGCTTTGGGGGGTGCGGTATGCTGCAATATACGTATGTTAGGGAACTCTAATAAGGGCCGTAGACTACTTCGATCCCGGGGTGGGTTCTGGGCTTTTAAGGAAAGGCATATGCTACTATCATGGAAACAGGGTCCCAAGACCATAAGAGGGATGGTCCTTAGGGACTTGTTTCCATAATGGCCCTAAACCCTAAACTCTCTTGGAACTCAGGTTGAAGAAGCATCCCCTCGTAGTGGAGGCGGCAGGCTACGCCCTCACGCCCCTCACCGCAAGAACGATTTTGTTGGGGTCGGGTTCTGGTTTGAGGGTTCAGGTTTCTTGATAGCATAGTTGGTGTTCGCTCGCTCCTACGAGCAGAGGGATGGTTAAAGTCGAGATGTTTCTGGGCATGCACCGGTTCGGTTCCGTGTTATTCTTGCTGCTTCAGGGTGAATCGAACCCTAAGCCCAAAACCCTAAACCCTAAGCCCGTAGGTGTTCGAGGCTATAGGGTTTACACACTTGAGTGCGGAGCGACGTGATGTGGTTCCTTTCAGGGCCCTTTGGTCAACATGAAATCGTGTCCTGAATGGAGTTCTGAGGGTTCTTATCACGAGGGCGCTGTTACTTCTCAGGTCTCATCCATGTATCCCCAAGCCCTCGACCCTAAAATCCTACAACCCTTGCCCTGAACCCTAAAACCCTAAACCCTTGCCCTAAACCCTAAGACCCTCATCCATGTATCCCCAAGCCCTCCGAAACCCTAAACTTTCACGTGTCTCCAGCTTCGATGCCCAGTTGAAACACACTCAAGCCCTGAACCCTAAGGCGGTCCACGCAACAGCTAGTATAGGGGCCTTAAGAATTACCCATATTATTTTGGGGGGTTCCTTATTCTACTTATAATAACTTATAGTATTAATCATAACCTATAGGGGCCTTAATAATTACCCATATTATTTTGGGGGTTCCTTATTATGATTATAGTATAATTATACCAGCCTCGACCCCAAACAGCACTTGAGAAGTGGGAGACAAATGGGAGACAAGTGGGAGACAAATGGGAGACAAGTGGGAGACAAATGAGTATGACGAGTAGAACCTAGCGTCCCAGACGGGCGTTACAGCATCTAGAATGT